ACAGTGCGTACAATCAAGTGCGCGCCGCGGCTGCAATTTGCCGTGANGGCGCGCACTTGATTGTACGCACTGTATAATCCAGCTTTCGGTAACCCTCGATACAGTAGTGACTATATTTCTTCCAGCGTTCCAGTGTTGCAACATGTGCGCGAACTCTTAGACTAACACATAATGATATTATTAGCCCCCCGCAAAAGGATTTACGTCTGTTAAGCTGAAACTCTGGGCCGTGACAACCCAAGCTGAGATGACGTTTAGTTGGTTTATAGTTCTTGTTGTGGGGGGTAGCGGCTTTAGTTAGGTTTGTTGCGTCTCAATTTCCTAATGGTCTTCCCTACAATTATATTTTATTATAACTTCGTATGGGACAACGTGGTAGCGTAGTTAGTTAATGCACTATGCTATAAGATGGAAGGTCGCGGGTTCGATTCCCGATGAGGTCATCGGATTTTTCGATTGACCTGATCCTTCCAGGCGCACTATGGCCCTGGGATCGACTCAGTATCTGACAGAAATGAGTACCAGGAATCTCCTTGGGGGTAAAGGGCGGCCAGCGCATAAGGCTGACAACCTCACTGCCATCTGTGAGCCGATTGTCAAGAAAATGTGGGAGCCTCAACATTCCACAACGCTATGAGCCTCCACGGCCTGTTACAGGGATAACTTTACTTTTTTATTACCTTTGCGGTCTTGTCTCTGAAGAGTACCCCTTCTATTAAGTGACACCGTGTAGTCTGGTAGACGTTTATCGACTGTACGGAAGAACATAGTACCTCCATCTTCAGGATAGAAAAGTAAGTCATGCAAGCAACTAGCTGAAACAGGCGGTAAGCTGAGCTGTTTCTGAAAGTTTCGTGCTTGGCTGTTCGTCCTTGAAGGCGTAGACAATATGTTCCTCCGAAACGTCGTTCACTCTCGGATTTACGCGACGTTACAACCCAAAATACTTTACTCTTCACATTTTGTAACTTGTTTAAATATAGGACTCTTTTCTCGGGATGGTTTCCAGGCAATGGTGATTTCGAAACGTCTTTAAGCTTGGTTCAGTATAAGATAGAAAGTTGGAAGATTTTGTTTTCTGGACACGATGGGAAGCAAACGCGGCATAGCCACATCCCGCGGAAGTCTTGGGATTCATTGGCGACGTCCCTGGAGCACGTGTTTTTCTTGCAACTCCGTTAACGAACGGTGCACGTAACAAAAACTACGCTAAGACGTTAATGACGGGAAAAAGAGCCGTAAAAAACCGTTACTGTTCCTATACGGAGCAAGTGGGCACTCCAAGTATCAGGACAACAAATTATTTCTGTGCGTGATGTTCGGAAGACTCAAGAGATTGGCTGCCCTTAATGCAGTGTTTTGTTGCTGTTTCGGTGTTAATTTATATGCTGACATTTCTGGTGGAAGTTAGGCATAGAAGAAGACCGCGCCGTAGCTCAAGCGGCTAGTCGCTGGCTTCCCACCGCGGCGGCCCGGGTTCGATCCCGGGTCTGGTCAACTGGGATTTGTGGTGGACAACGGGGCGCTGGGGCAGGTTTTCTCCGAGTACTTCGGTTTCCCCTGCCAATCTTCATTCCACAATCACCCTCACCTATCATCTGGGGCTGGTACAACAGGCCAGAAGTGGCCGCAGTACAAGGGACTTAGCCCCACCCCACTAGCAATAAAAAAATAGGCATAGAAGAAAGGGGAGAGAGAAGGCCGTGCCGGCGTTGCCATAGCTCAGGCTTCTAACTGCGGCGGTCTGGGTTCAAAGTGACATTGGGGCAGGTTTTCTCCGAGTACTTCGGTTTCCCCTGCCAATCTTCACTCCACCAACTGCTCCACAATCACCCTCACCTATCATCCGGGGCTGGTACAGTGGGCCTGTTACTGACCGGAGTACCGAGTGGATTCAGCCTCATCTCACCCCAAGAAAGTAAAAAAAAAAAAACATTTAAAAGGAAGAAAAGTATTTTTATCATTTCTTTCGCAGCGGTGTCAGAATCTGTACTATATAACGCTGAAGGGATAAACTGCTTTGTCCGAGATATATATCTCGGTATTTGATCGGAATGACTGAGGGAAACCACGAAGATCCTGAGGGTGGCCGGCGTCTCCCGGTCGAGATCTCCCGAATAAAGTCAGACCGTTACCACGGCACCACACAAGTGGAATCTCAACCATTCCTGTCCGAGAGGAGGCGCAGCCCCCCCCCTCCCAAGTTAGAAACAGTATTTTTGGGGGGCATCATAGTTTTTGACCCTCAAGATGGAGGCGGTAGTTTCTCTGAAAACGTCGGTAAGCTTGTACCAGATTACACGGCATCACATTTCAAAAGATATAACGTTTCTTAATGGTACGCAGTTCATGACGCGGAATATCTGTTTTTCTTGTTCTTTCTATGTTTCTTCTTCCTCCACAGCGCCCAGCTCTGCTCTAAGGCCCACGCAGCCTCCTGTAGAATAGATACCGGAGTCTCCTCAGGGTTAAAGCGATCGGGGCGTGAAGCTCACCACTCACCTCCATCTAATGCCGAGTTCAAGAATGGTGGAGCTATACCTCCTTACTGCTTAACCGATTAAGCATAGGGACAATTTTACTTTTACCTTTTACATGATAGAACAATTATAACTATTATCTATAGAATAGGAAGGTTTGATATCGATAAATAGATTGTTGTCTTCCTCCCATAGTCACAGACTGTACCATAATAAACAGTAAATAATATTTTTTACACCAACTAACCATACCCACTTCACCCTGAAGATGGAAGAATTGTATACCTCCGAAACGTGGTCAAGTCTCTCCGCGTCTTCGTCATGCCCAAGATCGGATTGAACATTGCAGTTCTTAGTTTGGCTATTATACAGTTTCGCTGAATAGAGTTTGGGAACTTCCGGTGTAGAGAATTGATTTTGAGTTTAGCTTGTAAAGCATTTGAGCGCCGCTGCTGTAGTTGCTGTCATAATGGCAATTAATGCCTTTATCTTGTTCACCGAGCTCCACACATGATTTTATGGCTTCGTAAGAGGCTAAACTGAGCGGCAGTTTGTTCTGTGTTGAAGTAACGCATCTCCGATACAGCACGCCCACAAGCCGAGTTCTGCCGCAACGTCCAAAGCTGATAACGTATGTGACATCAATTTTCTTCAGCTCCACACGAAATAACTGCTAAACACAAAAGTTAGTATTTTTCCTGTGCTTAATTAGATACCACGCCATGAAGACGTATGGGGGAGTTGTGGTATGGCTTCACCAATCTTGATTTCGGCACGTCCCTGCCGCTTTACCCCCCGGGGAAATAGTCCCCGGCATCCAGTGAACAGGAGGCTCCGTGTGCTCCAGAGCCGGTCTGGACGCTGTGAAGAGGAGAATCATCTCTTGCTTCTGCCGGGAATCGAACACCGGCCGTCCAGTTCGTAAGCTGTCGCTGTAGTGACTGAGCTGTCCCATCTTTAGACAAGTAGCAAACAAGTATTATGGGGTTGTTTGAAAATGATCGAAGGCCGGAAAGACCTGCAGATGAAAATTATGTATCTCGGAATGTCTTAAAAACATATTACTTATTAACACTGACTAAACATAATTTAAATTGTATTTATTTTCGTCTAACCGTTGTATTTGTTATACGATAACAGTGAGAGAGGTATACAGCAAGAATGAGTTGCAGTGAGAGGGGATATTTTTCTTCGCGGAGGCGTAAATTACAAAATCAATATGTTTGAACCGCTTATGAAAGAAAGGGATGTTTACTGATGCGTAAAGAAACCTTCTGTGATCAAAATGTTAGCGCTGCTGAAACTCAAGTTACTTTAGATTTCCATGAAATTTTCTCAGAGTCTCGGGAAAGTGTTCTGATCGTTCTGATGTTGTACGCCCTGATTGCAGCGAGTATGACCAAAGTGAAATCTCTTGAGAAAGTTATAATGAAGAATCCCCTCCTTTGCTACACGAAGATTTTCACTAAATCTGTTAACGGATTTGGGAATTGAAGCATACGGATACGTGAAGAGATCTGGCATAGGAAATTAGAAAAGTGTGATAGTCCCTCCTCTGACGTAAACCGTGCGCGTTGAATGTTGGGTTCGGAATGTTCTGGAGTCAGCTGTAACATTTTATTATTATTGCAGTTTGGTGTACAGGGAAAATGTAACGAATTTTGAACTACCACTTTCTAATTTGGGGGGGCACGCGGTAGCGTAGTTGGTTGAGGCACAATGCCACAAGCCGGAAGTTCGCGGGTTTGATCCCGGATGAAGTTATTGGATTTTTAATTTGATCTAATCCTTCCAGCCGCACTATGACCCAGGGGTCGACTCAGCCTCAAAGAGAAATGAGTACCAGGAATCTTTCTGGGGGGTAAAGGGCGGCCGGCGCGTAAAGCTGACAACCTCACCGCAGTCAGTGTGCCGATTGTCTAGAAAATGTGGGAACCTCGACGTCTCACAAGAATATGGGACTCCACCCCCTGTTACCGGGATAGCTTTACGTTTTACCTTTTTTTTTACATTCTTATTTTTGTCACAGAATTAGGTATGTGTTCCACAGTTTAAACAGTTGTCCATAGATGGCTGTTCGGTAGGCCGCACACCGGCATCCGTCAAGGCATGTAACAGTCGAGACACGATGTCTGCGATATGACTCAAAGAAAGGAACACAGTTGAAACGAATGAGATTATGAAAAGTGCCGCACATCAGTCTGAGTCATGATGCTGACGTCCCGGGGAAACAGACCCGGTACCGATTGTATAGGAGGTTGGGTTGACCCCAGAGCAGGTGTGAACGATTTGGAGAAGGACAAAGTTCTTGATCCTACCGGGACTCGAATTCCAATCCCTGAGTCGTGCAGCCCGTAGCCAGTCGCTGTACCGACTGCGCTATCCCAGCTCCCTTATATATTCTCATACAGTTGACAACATGTTTATTTATTTACGACTTGTTTAACGACGCTGTCAACAGCTAAGCATGTAAAGCGTCAGAGGACCTATAATTATGTAATGCATAATTCTGTGTTGCAGAAGCGCGGCTTGGCGCTTCCCCCGGTGTGCGCTCGGTGGAAGTGCAGACACCTCCCGCTTCCCCCACTAGCGGCCATCAGGGACCTCGGCTTACTCCTGGTGGCCTCCTAGCCAGCTTCGACAAGTCCATTCTGCAGGTAAGATTTGTTTTACTTTGAATAGTGCAACTGTGGGCCTCTGATTACGAAACTTCATCACTTTGCGAAGGATTACAAGCGAACTGACACACCAAACTTAATGGTTTTTCTCAGTCCTTCCAGGCAAATTACGAGATAGTACCTCGATTAGGCGATGACCATATCCTTCAAAATCCTTTTGCAGTTTATCGTCCATTTTACCTTTCCATGCTTTACAGGGTGTGCCAGGAGGAAAGGTCAGTATTCTTTGAGGTCATAGTATCGGTGATTCTAAGTAATAAAGTGTATATATGGACATGTGTCTTATTCCTAACGGTTTCCTAGATACAGTACACAGTACACTGTACACTATACAGACACGCAACACGCCATGTCTTCACACGAGTTGCAAAGTGCACTGATGTTGACTGTGGAATTTTTGAAAACGTATTATACTAGGTAAACTGTACCAACTTCGTCACTTGAACAATAAATACCGGTATTAGAAACAGTACGTAATATCTCTTTCTTATCAACAGTTTTGGAACAGTACAGTGAAATAGCTCTATCTCGGAAATCGTTCGGAATAGGACACATGTACACATACACTCCTGTGCTTAGAGTGACTGGCATAATGACCTCCCAGAATATTGACTTTTCCTCCTGGGACACCCTGTATAATCAAGCTACTAACATCTTAAAATGACGCACGCATATTTCCTTGTTGCGGAAACTTCTTTCTGTGTCTTCCCCCCCTTCCAGACATCTGCTTCGTCTAGCTCATTCACGTTTAATTAAACACGTTCACGGTGTTACGTAATTAGCATACCAGTTTATGTTACGGTATTCAGGAATATGGTGCAGTGTGGCCTGATAGGTACAACCAACGTTTTCACCTTCAGAATAACAGAAGTTACTTCTGCTCTGAAGATAGAGGCATCAGTTTCCCCCCTGAAACGTCGGTATTCCAGACTGCCTGAGGCACAACAGATCACTGTGGTCATGGTGCAAGGGCCAAGAACGCCCACCCCTTATACATTCATTCATTATTCCAGAACCCAGACGATCACAACCCCAATACCTGCCAACCCTTAAAGTTCATGTCTCAAATTGCATTGTATGCTTTTGCTTGTCTTGCTCGTCTCAGTCTGTGACCCGTAGTGCTGCAGCATATTTTGGTTATTTGCACTCACCGTGTCTACAGACTGAACATTACAACTTGCAGCCTGTTTCTCCATTTGTGTCTCCGTCTGTTGTCATGGAGTGACACCGTTTTTATTCGTGTGGTGTGTTGAGACAGTCCATTTGGTACCCCAGCCACTGTTGAGGCTGTACTTACCAGCCTTGCAGCCTGTTTCTCCATTTGTTTCGCCGTCTGTTGTCATGGAGTGACACCGTTTTTATTCGTGTGGTGTGTTGAGACTGAGTCCATTTGGTACATCAGCCACTGTTGAGGCTGTACTTACCAGCCTTGGTTGATGGGTGATAACGCATGTGTGTGGAGCAGATGACTGAACGATAATTTTCAGGGCCTGCCGAAGTTGTCGGGATAAACCCGCCCCATTGTCACTTTTCCAGTTAGAAATCCCATATGCCCTAACATGGGATTGAAAGCAGGCCGCCGCGGTAGAAATCTTGAGCTATTGCACGACCCTTTATACAGTTGCTCCTGTTGTGAGCCGTGTCATATCTAAGGCGGTTGGTCGCCGGCTCCACGTGTTTGATTTCACGTGGGATTTGTGGTGAGCAAAGTGGCGTTGGGGCAGGTTTTCTAAGATCTATTTTAACATTATCCTCCCACCTAGATTTAGGTTTTCCTGCGAGGTAGCGTAGTTGGTTGAGGCACTATGCTACAAGCCGGAAGGTCGCGGGTTGAAGTCCCGATGAGGCCATTGGATTTTTTTTTTCAATTAACATAATCCTTCCAGCCGCACTATGGCCTTGGGGTCGACTCAGCCTCTAACAGAAATGAGTACCAGGAATATTCTTGGGGGTAAAGGGCGTCCGGCGCGTAGGGCTGACAACCTTACGTCCATCTATGAGCCGATTGTCTAGAACATGTGGGAACCTCGACGTCTCACAACCCTATGGGCCTTCACGGCCCGTTACAAGGATAGCTTTACGTTTTTAAGGAAAGATAAAAGGTAAACAATGTACAATTGTCACCCAGCTTAAGTAATTACATTTTGAGTGATTTCTTTACGTCTGGCTTTCCCACCAACGAATAATACCGAGTGTTATCGAACGTTCCATCGAGTGGTTGGTACTCCTGCCTTGGATTCTGGAAGTACCGGCTTCAAATATTGGCCCCGGAATCAGTTACCCTCAGTTTTTCATGGCTCACCTACCCAAATGCCGGATCGCCGGTTCTGTACCTTTCCCTTCCCGTCTCACAGCTCCACACTCTATAGCATATGACAGCCAACTTCAAATCAGGAACAGACGTGGATGACGCTTAGTGTTAAGATATGGAACTAAAGCACGTCAATTCAAAATCATCGTCTCGTACATGAATTTGACATTGGTACTCATAGGTGAGCCAGTCATGGTAGCCGAGCGGTCTAAGGCATGCAGTGTCTTCGCTCGCTTGGAAACCGGGATCGTGGGTTGGAATCCCACTCAGAGCATTGATGTTTAGTTTGTATGTATGCGTTTTTCTGTGTTTGTGTACAGGTAGAGGCCTTGTGAGAGCTGATCACCCGCCCAAGGAGTCCTACCGAATGTGTAAGATCTAGAAAAACCGAAGTGAACGGAGAAGTTCATGGAGGTAGTAGGCCTAGGCCCACTGGGGCTGTAGTGCCAAGGGGGTGAAAAAAACCTCAGTAGGTAAAAAGGTAAAGTTGTCCCTGGGCTTGATGAATTAGGCAACACGCCATGAACATATCTGTGGAAGTAGAGGTGTAGTTCCATCATTCTTAACTTGGCCACTAGATGTGAGGTGAATTATCAGCTTCACGCCCCTACCGCTTTACCCTCTGGGAAAGAGCTATCGGTACCCATTGGTTAGGGAGCTGTGGTGCCCCAGAGCCGGTGTGAGCACTTACGGAGCAGAGAAAAGTCTCTTGCACCTGCCAGGAATCGAACCCCGCCCTTCCAGCTTTCAGCCCGTCACTATACCGACTGAGCTAACCTGACTCATGTTCAGTGGACAGAAAAGCCAGAAGCACACAATTCCGCACTGTATACTAGATTCAAAACGCGAGATACTAAGGGGCTGGGTTAGAGCCCCATCTCAGGAGGTTCTCGTCACGGAGGTCCGGGTTGAGTCCCAGTCCATGTGGGATGTGTGTGATGTGCAAAGTTGCGCTGTGGTTAGGTTTTCTTCCAAACATCTCACTTTCCTCCTACCAGTTCTCGGGGTCATCAGGGGCGGGTACAGTAAACCCATCAGAGCAGTACTGAAGAACTGGGCCAACCCCTGCCCCTGCAACTACAAAAGAAGAAAAAATCCATTACAATGCTGTGTTCGTGTGGGATTACCCGGCGTCCGGTACTAAACATCATATGTAAAGCCGTGTCAGAGTCACCCGATGTAATATGAAGCCGAAGCACAAAGCGTTTCCATCAGAAGAATCCGCCCCCAGGGCACCTACCCAGTGACACAATGGCGACCAGAGCGCGCGGTGGCCAAGCAAACCATGCAAACTGCAGCATGAACACGCACATGAGGAAAATAAGCAAATATACGAACAGCCGAGTATTTCTAAGCGCATGTAAACGCACTGGTTTCTTCCTATAGGACTCACTCGACGTTCTGTTCCTGAAAAGAATGAAGTTTTTACAGAGCTGTACCTCATGCAGCCTCACTTATATCCCCTCCTTGCGGGGTCAGTAAAGTCCAGAAAACAGATTGAGCGCATGAGGCCGGGCAGGGGGAAAACGATGAACAGCCAGGCATAAAGCCTATTCCCCCCCAAAATCAAATTTAAAAAAAGTCGATACACACACGTGCGTACTTCCTCATATACGACTGACCTCGACTACGTAACCTTGGAAACGGCCCCATGGCCCGAGATATTATTTTCCTGAAGACACCGCAACGGTAGGATGGGGTGGTAAGGACTGGATTAGTCTGGCTGAGAATAGGGACTAGTGGAGGGCTGTTGTGAACACGGTAATGAACCTTCCAGTTCCATAAATTGTTGGGAACTTCTTGAGTAGCTGCACAACTTGCGGCTCTCAAGAAGGGCTCGGGTCCATGAAGTTAATTAGTCATTTAGTTAGTTGTGATTAACTGGTCAGTCCGTTCTGAACAGAATGCGCAGTAGGGATGGTCGCTGTTGTAGTCGGTTACTTACCTGATGTTTCAGTATTGAGACTATATCGCCGGTGATGGGATGACTAATGAATGCAGGATAGAGGGTGTCGCGTGGTCAATGCATCGAATCCCCACGGTCTTTAATTTCGGTTTTCTAGACCGGAGCCGCAATTTCCATGAAATAGCTTCTCAGTTATCCTCACGAGTCTGAGTGTACCCAGTTCCAGAACCACTACTTCTCAGAAAATCTGGTAGCGCCGGAATCGGACCCGGGACCTCTGGATCTGTAACCAGGAACTTTGCCGCTAGACTACAGAAGCGGTCTGACTAATGAGTGGAACGAGAATTGTTAGTCGAAAGTGAAGCACTGGGTCTAAACATGTGATAGAACCTGGGCCTCCTAAGCGATTTAGATGTTCCTACTGTGTGAGATAAACATTGTGTGGGGTATGTAAGTAGTGCTTTAGTCACATCGCATCATCCCGAACTCCCACAATGCAGCTGCAGCGGCTGCCCCGCCAGCTCTTGCCATCGCAGAAGCCAGTTTTATGAACAGAGCCTCTAGTTCCAGATGAATCCGCGATGTGCAATTATTCTGTAAGGAAATCGGTCACAGGAAGCTTGTGTTTAGCTCCCTGTAATTTGTGTACGCAGCCGTTGGGAGTGGTAAGGAAATGTATTCCTGCTTGTGAGATCTCATTTGCTGCAATTGTAATAGAGTGCTCTTGTACGATATAGCCCCTGGGGGCTTGTCATTACAGTT